GGTTTAGAGGTTTAGGCGTCTTCAGGCCTTTAACAAAGGAATGCCGCACAAGGCTTGTTTCAACAAGTAAGTGAACCAACGTGACCTAGGCCGGAAGAGGTCTGAAAGCCTGATCCCTAAATCGTGTCAAACCTTAGCCGGTGAATCTTGGCTACTGGCAGAGCGTCACATCCCAACATGTTTGGGGACCGTCACAGAGAAATATTGGCGACATTGCGAGAGTGACCCAGCAGCACATAACGCCATTTCTTGCAGAAGATGTAAAAGAAGTTGATAGCAGTGTAGCGGTGAGCTTGCTCCTGGCTTGTGTAGTGGGCCGGCGAACGAGCTGAGCCGACCCTTTTCTTCAGACAGTTCAGCCAATCAGCTAAGTATCGGAACCCAACATCGGTGTCCTCCCGAAGGAGCCGTCGCCCCAACCGGCTCCCACGCCGCCGCCGGGTCCAGAGACACCACCAGAGGAGCTGACCTGACGATGGTTCTTTTCTCATCGTCTCCGGTTGAGGATGATAGTGTTGCTGATAACAACGACTTCGCAAAAGGTGTCGCAACGGTGTTATGGTTCTCATTGTCGGCTGTTGGACAGGTTGCCAACGATCCGACGAAGAATGAAGGTAACCATAATTGTCGTGGTTGCAATGTCATGTTGCCATCAGCCGTAATCCCTAAACCTTAAACCCTAAAGCGGGATTCATTTCCACAGCTGCCAGTTTTATGAGCAGCTTCTCCTTCAGAGTTGTCAGCCCAGGCGGTCAGAGTTTAAATGTGATGTGGTGGTAGTTGAAGAGCAAGCCGCAATTTTGAGACTAGCTTGACTCAGTAAGTGTTCCTCCATAGGTGGCATTTGTGCATACAAAGCCACAGAGAATCATCTTCAGGCCCCTGCATGCACCCAACTCCGAAAAATCCTTGGCTTTGGAGTGCTGTCTGCGAAGACACCCGGAAGATAGTCCCCTTCCGCTCGCCGGCAGGACGCGACCCAGAGCCAGGGCAGCGAGACCAATATATTGGACTCGAAGCTTCTTGGTGTGGCTTTCACCGTTTTTCTTCTAGGCTTCTTTGTCTTGTCATCGCCTCCTTCATCATCGCCATCTTCAGCCTCACTGTCGTGCTTATAGACTTACAGTCTTACAGTCATGAAATGTCATGACCATCTTCCAGCGTTCTCCATAGCCATGGCTATCGCCGATTGCCACCACCAGCACCATCATCCGCATCATCAGCAGCATAATTTGCATTATCAGCTTCCATGGCGTTAGCACGACTAAGATGTCATGCTTCTGCTTGTTCTGCAAGTGCTGCTACTGCTGCTTGCCTGTGTCGTCTATTCTCTACCCAATCCTCCTCGGTCTGCTCATCTTGGTCTCAGTGGATCTCAAAGAACAACCCGTCAGAGACGTAGCGTCCAGGCTGGTTGGGGTGACAAAGCCTTTCTGCGCGGAACCACGGAAATACCGCAAGTCTTGCGCAACGCTCCACCCCGAAAGTCCTAGAACCCTCACCCCAAATCCTGGATGGCACCAAAACCCTCAAACCCGAAGCAAGGCCTGTGACACAGACCCCAATCCGAACCAAGCGATCTCCTCCGAAGATGCAGCCCTAAACTGTCCTGATGGCCCTTAAAACATGTAAAGTGGTTCTTCAAGTAACCCTTGTTGGGAACCCCCCCCAATCTCCATTAGATAATATTCCAGAGCCCGAATCAAGCAACCCCTGTAGGAACCCTCAGGGGGAACCCTAAGTTGCCCTAAACTTAACCGAACTCTTATGGGAACCTAAACAACCCTAATATATTAGGGCCCAAGAAATTACTTGTATTATTTTGGAGGTTCCTTATTATATGTCATAGTATCATATACCCCAAACCCCTATTCTACTTATTAAGGCCCCTACATTATAGAACCCTTATGGTAGCCTTCATGGTCACCCTTTAAGGATCCCTTTAAAGGAGCCCTATTCTAGTTACTAAGGCCCCCACAGAAAAACCTTAAACCCTAAACCCTAAACAATTCTTAAGGCCCCTATGTCAGGGTTACTAAGGCCCTCACAGAAAGCCGCATCTGCGTCACAAGGCTGGCGTGGCCGCCGCTGGGACCGGTTGCCAAAGCCTCGGCTGCGGCTCCAACTACCGAGGCAGGTCCGACAATGCCGGGTGGTCTTTGGGGGGGGAGGGTTTTAAAGAGGTTTAAGGTTTAGGGTTTTTTAGGGTTTAGGGTTTTGGGGGTATAGGGTTTTTGGGGAGTTTTAGGTTTAGGGTTTCTGTTGGTTTTGATGGGTTTTAAGGGTGTCGGGCAGGGCTTATCTGGAACTGTTAGGGGGGCTTGAACATGATTCTTACGATGGGTCTTATGGGTTTCCGAGTCATTCGTAGGAGGGATCTAGGGCTTGGGGAGAAACTCGCGAAGAAACGGTTTTGAATGGCCGTTTACTCGGTTCTAGATGGTTCTAGGGCGGGGACCGTATCGTTTTCATCAGGGTTCTATGCGCCTGGAAGGGAATTATGAGCCTGAAGGTTCTTGGGAAATCTCGTTCCAGGGTTTGGGGTGCATGGTGTATAGTGGTTTTTGTGTCTTTTTGGCTTCGGGTTATACGGTTTTCGGACTTTCGGGCTTTGGGTTTTAGGGTTTTCTGGTTGGTTTCTAATTGTTTACACCCTAGACTAGACACGATCTAGGGTGATTTAGGACTTCGGTTGCCGGAAGTTGGGCTTGCGCTAATGGCGGTTTAAATCATGTCATCGAACATGCAGTCGCTGTTACGCAAAGCGCCACGGACTGTTCTGCAGCTCTTGAAACCTGTACCCCGTAAGCCCTGGATGAATGTCAGAGCATGGAAGATCCTGGGCTCAGGGTTATAGGGCTTAGGCCTTTGGGTTTAGGGTTTTGGGGTGTTGAACGGTTTAGGGTTTGGGGCTTGGAGCTTTGGGCTCTTAGGGTTTTGGGGCGTTGTTGCAGGCCTGAACCTAAGGCACCTGATCAAGTCAAGGGTCGCAAAGACCGTGCCTGAAACCACGGTTGTTCAATCCTCAGCATTCCGATGATTACTTCAGAGAGCCTTGTCAATCTGAAGCCGAAAGAATTGCGCTCATCTGCCTCAATTTCAAAGTCCGACAAGAAAGCAGCTACGTAGCAGTTCAAGCGAGAAGAATGGCATTAACAAAGCAAAATCCGTCGGTGCAAATGGAACAAACCCTGCATAGAAGTTCAACCGACCAGAATTAACAAAAACCCTAAACCCTGGAACCCTAAACCCTAAACCCTAAACCCTAAAACCCTAAAGCCCTAAACCCTAAACCCTAAACCTTTTCCGCGTGTGACCGCGGAAACCCTACACACATGTTCGTTTCGTCAAGGGATGATTTGAGAGGAACTTCGAACTTCTGTGAACTCCAGAGCCCAAGATTAATGTAGGGGGCCTGAATTATTACCTATACTCTTTTGGGGGTTCCTTCTTATAATTTTAGTATAAGGGGCTCTATTCTAATTATCAAGGCCCCTATATTTGCTTGATGAGCCAGGGTCATTTTCAAAATGTCCATTGAAGGACCCTAAACCCTAAACCCTAAACCCTAAACGTGAGAAGCCCCCTGAAGCTCCCGCCGGAACTGCTGACGCCGCTGTAGGGTTTAGGGTCCAGGGGCTTAGGGTTTAGGGTCTAGGGGTTCAGGGTTTAGGGGTTTAGGGTTTAAGGGTTAAGGGTCTATAGGTTTAGGGGTTTAGGGTTAAGGGTCTATAGGTTTAGGGGTTCAGGGGTTTAGGGTTTAGGGGCCCAGGGGCTGGGGCTCCGAGCCCGAGCCCGAGCCCCCAGAAAGAAACAAGGCTTTGTCTAGCCGCAGCGGTATGCACCACATCCCCAACTTCTAAGCAACCACAGCTATTCCACGATCCGAAGCACAGGCTGGAAGTGACGACCTGAGCCTTCGAACAATTCAGACTTATCTCTTTGGGGCGCTGGGTTTGGAGATGATACTGACGACTATGATGATGATGTTGTTGTTGTTGTTGTTGTTGTTGTTGTCGTTGTTGTTGTTGTTGATGATGATGTTGTTGTTGTTGATGTTGTTGTTGTTGTTGTTGTTGTTGTTGTTGTTGTTGTTGTTGTTGTTGTTGTTCTTCTTGTTGTTGTTGTTGTTGTTGTTGTGGTTGGTTGTGGTTGTGGTTGTGGTTGTGGTT